ACGTAACAAGAACGAGTGCTTGTTTAGTCACGATATCCTAACATTTAACAAACCACGTCAACTGTATTACACGAAACATTTTATCCGACTCGAAGGACCAACGGAAATTAGTGTCATTCAGATTATATTAGTATTAAGTGTTGATTTCATCTATTCTGTCACGAACTTCTAAGTCTCATACGAGACCAGAGTCGTTTTATTTCACACACAGTGCACGCTTAGCGTGAGATAACAAAACTCAGTGATATTTACACGAGAGTAAATATTACGACAGTTTTAGCATACGTAACACGTGTCCAACGGTTTAACGCAGATAGTCTTTGAAGGTGGTTACAGCACGCCACATAAATCAGGAGTCTGCTATAGTTCCAGTCTACCGCGAAATGAGAATTAGGTCAGCGTGCGCTGTGGCCGCTAGCGATCTCGGTTTACATCTGGACTTTCTACGGGTGGATCATAAGGAACTAAATAGTTCTGATGTGAAGAGTTATTTTTCATTACTCTACCTAATATCGTTTTTCTAAGCGTGAGACCGTTAAACAACTCATATTTACCTAAATGAAAGCAGTAAACTCCATCTGCATTCTAATGGTATTTCATGGATGGTAGTTAAGCTAATTTACGTATACTTAATAGTATTATCAACGGCCGTCCATTCATAAATAAGTAGACAAGTCTAATCCTGTGTTTGCTTTGGCGTTAACGGGACAAGGGGCGTCCCATTCACCGGCAGTTTACGTCTGACGCTTGAGCTCCAATCCAGTCCGGAACTATCCGCTCAGTTAAACCCGACTTAACCTATTTTCTACGATTGTAAACTTGCTTAAACAGCTTTATTTTTGTTTATGATTTTTGAGTAATATCCCTATATTTTAACTTCGTGTTTCCGGCATTTATTAATGTCGTCAAAAGCCAATATTTTTATAATCCACATCGTTTTAACTTGAATGGGAATTACACGCTGTAAACTAAATAAAATATTTTTTATTGGCTAGATTACAGAATCCATTATCGAAATAAATAATTAATCTCACATTAATTTCGTTTTTGCTATATTTTATTTTATAGAGTCGAAAAAATAAAATCAAGTGTCTAGCAAGCATTTAGTTAGACTGGGTTCGTCTGCACACAACCTTATTGTTAATACCTAAGGGCGGGTTTCCACGTCACTCAATAATGCGGTGAGATACAGACTTGATTAAGCTACAGGCGACACTGTTTCCACGGTCCGTCATTATAGTCTGTGTCCATCTGCAGAATCTCGCCTCATGGAAATCCACCTTTAGTCCTAAGCCGCGCTCTCCGGAAATGAATCTCGGACACACTTCATTTATATTATAAACTCGTTCTTTGAACATTGTTAGTCCGCTGCGGTATCATTAATTTTATTACACTTAGATATTGCGAGACGTTTTTATTGCGAAGAGAAATGTACATCTGTCATTATTCTATATAATTGAATTGTAATTTAATATAATTTTAATAATCGATAGGAAATATTTAAATTAAATAGAATATAACAACAGGAAGTTATTTACTGTATTGTTGGTCGTTAATATTTTTTTATGTTACAGTTATTAAAATTAAAAAGAAATAACACGTACCGTAATGAATGTGTTAACTTCAACATGTTTTGGATGCCATAGAACATGTTCCTGATTTTTAACATCGTTAGCTCCAAACCAGAATGCAACGAAGATCAAACGATTATTTTACTACCTTTAAATAAACGCGAGACTACCGCACAGCGTTGGGCAGCCCTTTATGACTTTTTAATTACTCAACCTTCTTCAGGAGTTCCCAAAGTACTTAATGGATATTATTATCAATCTTTTGAAAACGCAAACAACAAAAACATACATACAGGGTGGTCCAAATTGCGAAATGCAAATGCAAATTTATTATTAATTTTGTGCAGGCTTGTTCATTTTTTTTTAAATTTTAAATACATAATACGTAGAACACTAAAACTACAAATTGCCAAAGTATGCATGCAAGCATTGTGAATGGTTCACAGAAGAAATAGCAATGTAAATATTTAAGTTGATTCAAAATTATGCTTACCGCATACTAGTCACATTTACAAGTTTGCTTGCACTCAATGAAGGGAACGTGATTAGGCATTGTTTAAACAAGTCATTGAGTACGAGCAGTGACCGGTGAATGGTGACCGATGGAATGGAATCGAGTGAGGCATTCGATTACATCATCAATGTCCCCAATCGATGTTACGAGACGCGCGGCGCTAATCGATTCGACGGACACAGCTCTATCTCGCCTCATTCGATTCATTCGCCCATAAAAGGTACACTTCCACTAAAACACAAACATAGCCATTCAACTTCTCAAAATAAATAATCTCCTTATTGTTATTAAGTTAAGGTTCAAATTGGTTTAATACTTATTGTTGCAGCTGTATGTTAAGTTGGTTTATACATGGTGTGACTAATCGTCCACGTAATTAATGAAATTATAAAATGAAACACGGTGATTGCATTAGTGACAAATTGTTTGATGTTATTATTAGTGGTGGAGGCAGGGATATTAAGTTTTGATTTGATCTCACTCATGAATTGTGCACAGTAATGATTAATAGAAAGTTAAAGTTAGCTTTAACATCTTCATTTGTAAGTACAATATTAATTAAAAACCAGGAAAATTATGCATAGAAATTATTTAAAGTAAGATTTTTATGGTTATTGGATTGGCACTTGGGTAATTGAAAAATTTAATTAATCGCTTTATTTCTCGATTTTATACCTTTTTATTTTAATAGATTTTAGTTGAAGTAAATTTTTGTACTGTTATAATTACTGCAGGTACTGAAGAAGAGTTACTTAATAAATATTTTTTTGTCAGAAATTAACACAATACTTATCAAAGATGTTCAAAATATTTTATCTAACTTGTAGAACATAAGGTTCTACTATCATATACGACAGTAACGTTCATGTCTCTTTGCTTAGAGCAACCTACAAAATAGAGCTTAGATAAAGACATAAAAGGTGTTTCGAAATTCTCGAGCAACAATAAAGAAATCCAAATTGTAGCATCAGTTGTTGTCAAGTATTATTCTGATATACAGGCGGATTGTGAACGGTGAACGGTGAACGATGAGGAGTGAGAGGTGAACGGTGAACGGGTAGCGGTGAATACAGAGCAATGAGCGTCACTCCTGGTTTGCATTACGATCTCAGATAAGATACAGTATGTTTGTTCTTATTCATCGCAGACAAGCGGCCCTTTCTCCAATTGAGATGAGTACGAATGTTGAATAAACATTACTAACTGTAAATAATAATCTAATATTGCGATTGTGTTGTAACCTTTTTATTTATCTCGATATTTAACTTTATATTTGTTATGTCAAAAACTTGAATAATTGCTAAAAATAACAATAAAATAATACACTAAAGTAATTTTAGATATGTTTTTAAATCGTTTACCATTTTAGAATATGGACGAATTTTACAAAGGCAGATTTAATGGAACAATATGCAGTGCGTTTGTTCTAATACCATCTTTTAGGTCATTTACCGTGTTCGCACAAGATTAGACCGTGTTCTACGGCTGGTCTGCGCTGTATCGTAATGCACGTCTGTGCATGTATTTGTGCGCTTGCATATTTCCGGAACGCACTTGTAATGCCACTAGCCTAGCTTCGAAGGGTACAATTAGCAGTCATGGGATGGAATTCCATTTAGATTCTATGTGGTTATGGATTATTTGCTGACTACCAGTGTAACAAATTAATATTATTATATCTAATTTTATTCTGGATTAACACAAAATACATTTGATGCTCTGAAAAATATAATTAATTGGCACTGTAGCTTATAACCAAAGCTTATTTATAACCAAACAGTTGTTCTAAATTTCATTTTTGATTTGATCAAAATAGAAACATGTTGTTGATATATAATTAATATAATAAATCAACTATAAAATCAGTTTGCGTTCTATTTTGTACATTAACAGAGCAGAGGACGACGCACCGTTACAAATTGTCTAGAACCAGACTTTAATAAGCTGAGGTTTTCATTGAGGCATGTTACCCAGTACTGCGTCTGGGTAGCGTGGGCCGGATCGCCCACGCGTGGGCAGGTTCCCGACGCATCGGCGTTATAGCAATATTGTTTGATTTATCGCGAACCTTTGATTCATTCATGGTTTCCGGACGCACGCTATTTACAGCCCAGTCAATGGAATGGTAAACGTGCAAAAGGATTCAATAAACTCATTCAGTAAACGAATTGTTATACATTTTAATTTTATTATTTTAATTAATGTTAGTTGTGCGTTTAATAATATTTTTATAATAAGAAAGATACACTAACTAACTTTAATGTTCAATGGGTTATACGAGTAATAAGTAAATTTTATAAATTTTCTTTTTTTTTTAATAATAATGTGATATTCCAGTATGTGTGCTTGACGTTTAACATATAAGTAAGACGACTTCTTGTATTTTTCTTCATAAATTGTTTAAAGAATCAATTGAATTCATCAAAGATATGTTCACCGTTTGACGTCACAAGTAATCTTGCTTGAACATTAATAATTTATATCACGTGATCGTTTATTGAATAAAAAAAGTTAAATGGAACAATTTAAACAATGATAATAGATACACCAGCACGACTTTCAATTGGATTTATGTCGGGAAATCTGACTTCCTGCAACAGACCGTGGTATGAGGGGCGCGGCGCACGCGCGACAACTTTGCCTCCGAGACAAAAACGTGACACGGGACAGATTATGAAGTGCAACTAAGAAGTTAGCGACGTGCCCAGGTGTGTCACACAGGTGTGCCCTCAAGATATGGTGCAACGCAATTAATAAATGGATCTTAATTATTTTGTCACTGTATCTTTAATTTCAATATGGAACATTTTTAAGGCGTCTTTAGGTTTATAAACGTAACCACTATTCATTCATCTAGTAGCGAATCAAAGCGCCATTCACAGCAAGACTAAACAGTTCGATGTGTGTAGATATGTCAGCACGCGCGGGACCGTTGCGTTGCCATGACAACTGAACTACAATAAGGAATATTGCCGCACAGATCTGGTTATATCTATGACATTGCTGGTACACAATGCAGTCTGCATTTTAAGTGTTTCCATACATGTTAAGTGTCTAGTCAGTGTCCAGTCTTCTGCCTAGTGTACGCGTATCGCCCTTCCGCCGCCGGTCACGACTTCCCCGTGTCTGGTGCAGGCGCATTCCTCACGCAGTCGACGTTCACACAACACAACTTGGCAAATAAATATGAGGAAAAATGTGTACCAAAAATCACGTATTTAAATCATTACGCTTTCTTGAATTTTGCATTTTTGTGTTGATGAAATAGTCTAATGGTGTAAGCACACTGACTAATGTTTACTTCGGAACTGTTTCGCGCAGACGTGAATATGGCGCTCGCTCTGTCGCGACGGCCGAGCGCTGTTCGGGTGTTTCCGGCTTATGTCTAAATTAACCCTTGGAATCTAATATATAAATGTCGTAAATCGTTTATTAATAATGAATTTACTTTACTTAGTCCTTATATCTTAATTTACTATTGGTATAATATCTAACTTTATAGCTAACAGAATGCAAAGCAGGTGATATTTCCCACTTACCTTCTGTATGGAAATTAGTTGCATTCAATTTATAGTGCTTGAATAAATTTATAGTATCATTACGACAATATATTTCATTGTTAACTAAACCTAACGCGGCTTAACTGAGCAAACATTGTAAATATAGACGCGCTATGCAATACATTCGATAGTTACAGCGTTTGTATCTGCCTAATGGCGAGTACACACTAGGCGAACAAGACGCGTTTTGAAAACGCGCGGCTAAGTTTAAAAAGAAACATAGGCCTATAAGTAGATACGGTTTAAACGCGGTTTTCCAAAGCGCGTGCTTCAAATCGTCTAATGTATTTTGACGCTTACGTTCAAATGCAACTCTATGTAGTCGTTGGTTAACATTACAGCCATCATATTGACAAGGCGAATGTTCCTAAGCTGTTTATTTACACGGCATTTTGTCCGATTTATATTCGATTGTTGGTCGTGTGAGTGCGAGTGGAGGCGTGTGGAAATCGATTTCCGTATCGATTTGTTTGTCGGTGCGTTGCTCTCACGAAATTCGTTGCGGGTACACTTCGTATCTTTGTTGGTTTCTGATGTAAATGTGAACATTGCCGTTGTGTCGTGCAATTGGTATTCAATGATACGTATCCATTCATGGTTTTCTTTTTGATTTGGAAAGAATTGAATATGATTGTGACAAACTGTCTGTATCTTAATAACAATAATTTTAGTAAAGTTTTTAGTTCTCCGTCTGCACTGATTTTTTTACCATTCCATACTAGTTTAGATAAAAATATCTGGTTAAGACCTAATATGTCATTTCACAACTTAATATTTACATCAACACATCAACATTCACTCGCTAACAAAATAATCACAATAAAGTTCACCTAATAAACATTCCTTATAAGCACACGCTAATGCAACGTCAATGCAGATTAGAACATAACTGCAATCAACATTAACACGACCAACATAAAGACGGCGAATTACAACATAAACATTATTAACAAACTAATAAACATGGCTGGAGAACGCATAACCTTTGTCCGTAGGAAATTAAAGCATAATTCCACCGCCGAGGAGATTAACACAAATGTACCCTGTTTAGGTCCTCTAAGATACTTAAAGGCGCTGATAATAAGGCTACTTCTACACGTTATCCTATATGTTTTGTTGCAACACGCGTGTGTAGAGACCTTTATGCCACACGCTGCGTGCAAGTGTATCTTGCGTCGTATTAGAATTAATAATTATCTTATAAAGTTGTCTTGACGAATAGGCAATGATTAGCATTCGCATATTCAATCAGTGTTGTCTGTGAGGAATGCATTCGCAAGTCTAGTTCGTCTCGTCACGCGATGGGCGATAATTAGTTGTAGCACGCATGGACCACCCGACTCTATGCAGAATTAAGTGTCATAGAACATGTTCATGTATAAGTGCTTCGAGAGCCACTATAAAAGAGTGTTAAAAAAGAAAAATGCCTATCCGAATTTCAAATTTAAAAATCTACATCTGCTATAATTATAATAAACCCTTGTCCTTTACTTCGCTTACAAATAACGCATTTAATTCTGAGCAGACGCTCACGCATTACAACATAATCGAGTTTTTATCGCTAATTTGCTCATCTCAATATCCTCGAGACGCATTTGCGCTAGCGAACTATTTCTTATTTACCACAAATATATTGCTCCATAAAATAATGCTACGTAAACACAGAGCTTTTGTTTCTGAACTGCTTATTCTCTATTTAAAGCAATTTTTCCTTTGCTATAAACGTATTGTAATTTTCATACACTTGAAAGAGTGGAGTAAAGAACATTTTTCCTTTGCCTACACACATTATAAAAACCTTAAAATGTTATTTTAACCAATGTAAAATTTAAGGACTTCCCTTGCCAACTAGTCTGTCAATCGTGGTTAAGGTTCACTTCGCTTTAGTATATTCATGGTAATTAAGGGTCGGAACACACTTACACCAAAGCGCAGCCTCGAGCGTGTTAATTACAGAGGTGTAGGGCGCGTCCGCACTGGGCGGTCGTTAATCAACGCGTCACTTACGCACACCGGCTGTCTACCGTCGCACCTAACCTATTTACGAAATGACGAGTAACAAGAGCTCTGGTCAGGTCGTAAACCTACAGACAGGATTCATGACGATCATAAACTGACGCGCCGTTAAGTAGCTAAAGTACTTAACTCATGAATGTATATGTATGTACGAATACGTTACAGTAAAATTATATTTAAAACTTGATAAATACAGATTTCTACTTTAACTATTTCCTTAGCTATAAAATACGTTATTGTACGTTGAAGAAGATTAATTGTCTAAGCTTAAACATTTTGGTATACATAGGCATGGGAAAGCTGATACTCCTTGTTTTGAATTGTAAATTCCGTGTGCTATGTGATGCCAAGTGCACCCAACATATATCTTACGTTATCTTATGACACGCGCCACTTGTCTACTTATATGTCCATCAGTTACAGTAGCTAAGGAACGGCTTGAATTTTAAATATAATATATTGAAAGTCAAAGACTGGGTCAAGATATTTTCAAGCCTAAAGTTGCTAGAAAAACGATATTTTTATTCATACAGGCAGAGAACTAATTTCAATATATCGGTACCTTTAAAAGTTATTTCAAAGACATTGCTATAAGCGAATTACTCTGCCGCTTTATTTTCATCTTGGGCGCTAAGTTATGTATTATGCAAATTTCTTGCTGCTTTCAGCCTACAGAATGTCCCTCTGACGTCACGACAGTCTTATCCTCATCCTATTGTATTATAAAGATACACGAGAGGGGAACAAATCTTTTCAATATTTTCTTACATATAATTTTCAACGCCTAGTGTTTTTAGAAACTTTGTCATGATCGGAACAAATGTTTTCTTACTGAAGAAAATATTTATTTTTATGAGTGACATTTTAACTTGGTAGTTGATGAAGCGTCAGTAATTATTAGACCTTAATGGAGCTAGCTGTCGTGGATTCGAATTCGATATCTTAGCACAAGCTTAGAGCTTACCGAGAACCTACACATCTAAAGAGTATAATTTATTATTTCCCTGACTAGGTCTGAACTTCATTGCCTTCCCGCATTTCAGGTTTCTTTCCGAAGGAGAGTGGTGACTGAGAGGCATAAATACCTAAATTTACTGCTGCAGTTACATTAACCCATGTTCTAATTCAATTTGCACAAAATTATGTCGCAGCGAAAGCTGCTCCGATCATTGGCTGTTCTCCACGACTTTAACTGCCACTTCTAGTGTATAACTGCGGACTTTGGTGTAGCAACACTATCGTAGTAATACTAATTTATATTATAATAGCAACATTGGCTCTAAGCTTTGATATCTTTTATTAAATCGAATGCGGAAGGGAGGGGCGGAGTGCACCAATTGAATATTAATAGGTACACTACTTTCAATTATATTATAAAGATAGAAATGATGAATACAGTGGGTTGGCGCAAATAACTTACATTAAATACACTGACGAAGAGTTTACATAACATTGTTTCATATCTTTTGATTAAGACAAATTGGTTTAAAGTCTTGACCGAACTTATTGTTATTGACTACATCTATTGAAGTTTTTGTCTCACTAATCTAATCATTAAGAGCATCGGTGGCTCAGTGGTCAAGCACTTGACTTGCAATCTGCAGGTCCTGGGTTCGAATCCCGCCATGTACCAATGTGTTTTTCGATTTCCGATTTACATATATACATTTATCCGACGTGCTTACGATGAAGGAAAACATCGTGATGCAACCTGCACATATCTGAGAAGATGTTCAAAGATATGTGTGAAGTCAACTAACCCGCACTAGGCCAGCGTGGTTGAGTATAGCCTAATCACACTTAACTTAGGGTAGGCTCCGAGCCACTCGGTGGGGACGTATAGTGAGCTGATTATGATGATAATGATGATGAATCTAATCATTATTATTCAAGTTACTTTGTATTTCTATTCTCAAACAATTTCGATAAAACTTTAAGTAGTAACAACTACAAATCGATAATATTTCATTGTCCATTTCCATCAAAATATTCGAAATAAGCCATACGTTTAAATGTAGTAAGTTTTATCGATACGCTTAAGCAAGCGAATAAAGCGCTTTAAGGTTTTACGACATTTTTATAGCTTGTAAATACGTTTTGGGAGTGCTTCAAAGAGCGCTTTCTGTAAATATCAATTCGCGTCTTTAGAACGCTCGATTACGTTTTTACGATTATTACTTTGGCCGTGTCCAAATGGAAGTTATTAAGTAATTTATAACATTTTCCGATGGTCACCCGTTACAGCCGCAAACGTAACATTACTTTGTTTATGAATCAAATGGCTTCACGTCAGGATTACATGCCTGTTACAAGATATTAAATATATGTATGTAAGTACAGTATCATTAAGAAACCATTTAGGGAGCTTTCCTACAAAAAAAAGATAATTTCCATATCAATGTTATTGAGGCACATTAGTTCCTAAACGTCAATAAACAGATATCTGCAAGGCGAAACATTCATAGCAAATAATAAATCGCGCATTAAAATTCAAATGTAATAATGTGAGATATTGATGTTATTGTGGACGTAAAGCGAGCCATTCCACACAAATAATACTTACTTGTTATTAACTTCATACACTTCGATGTCTCATAAATACATCGCAACGCTGGGATAAGACGCATTGCCACCAACCGCAGAGGTGCCACTGTGGGGGGGGGAGGGGGGGGGGATTTATGCCACAAGGAAGTTGCCAGCATCAATAATACATTTGTATACAAATCCAGGTATTACTAAGATCATGTCAAATGCCTATTATTATTAATAAATACAATGACATCGATAGTTTTTACAAATATATTGATTTTTACAATTATTTTTATAGTGGATTAACTTAGCTCTCATCATATTGTTGGTGACAATCTTCTTTTTCTTGAGGTGCCTCTCCGACTAGCGAAGGTTGGCGATCAGTTCTCCATATTTATGACAATAAAAACAGGTAAAAAGAAATTTAGGTCGTCATTGCATCCTATATATTGTTTTATGAAAAAAACCTCCGATGGGCTCGAAATTAGTCGGTGCCGCCACCGAACGAATATAAGTGAGTGTTTAGCCGTTTTCATATAAGTTTAAGTTAAAAAAAACTGTTATTATTTATGGATATAGAGACGCATCATTCAATTGGGTATTATGATGTGAACTATGGTGACCATTCACCAATTTCGTAGAACTAGCCACTTAATAAAGCATCTAACGAAGGGACTTATACCCATTAATCTCATCACTTGTCATATATTTGCGGAAAGTACCACAATGCAAAGTAGGACAAGTAAAGTTTGCAAAGGAAATGCATTTCACAATTACGTAACACTTTTTACATTATTATTTATATTATTAACAAACTTATACATATTTTTGCTACTGCAAAATCATCAGTATTTAAATTCTTTGTTACTTCACCTTAAATACAGTCATCAGAAAATCAGTTCGTAGAAATGAAAGCATTAAGAATGGTCGTCAACGAGCGGTACCTGACGGAACCATTGATCTCTCCGACGTTAGAGAGACGGGCAACCGGGTCGCCGCGCCGTTCCGTCTGTCCGTCAAATGCACCGCCTGCGTATAATTATTACGTCCAACTGTTGTACGAGAACGTTTATCTTCCTCTATTGTCAAACGGACACTTGATTTGCGCAAATAGGCAATTGCTAAGCATTTGTACGTTGTTTGCGTAATTATTCATTGTGCACTGCGTATTCAATCTTGTAGACTAAAGGTAAAAGTGAAACTTTAAGGAAAGAGCATCATCATGCTAATAGTAGATTTATTATTGCAAATACAAAGAAAGTAAAGGCAGTAAGTATTAAAGATCCAGAGAACTAGGTGTAAAGTTCAAATATTGATTTCTAAGTACGTTTTCATTTCAATAGAATGATTTATTTGTGTGAAATGATTAATAGTTTCGCGTTTGCTTTGTGAATGCTTACAAACTTGACACATGATGACTCTTTTGACGCAAATGAAGATATTAAGGAGTTCCCATGACCTTTTATAATAAACAAGAGAATAAAGAAACATAAATAGATGAACAACAATGGTGTTTGTTGTATATTATGATATGACAATCATAAAGCCACCTGCAGACGTAAACTTACACGATAAGGATCGTGCTTGATCTAACAGCGACACGTGCCGCGGCCTGAGCGTGACAACAAAATAAAACTTGAGAAGTTCAATAACCTGCCAGTATCTGTTGAGCCTTATCAGCGATCTCAGAGCTCGCTGTAAATTGAGATTTAAAATTGTCCCGATACAATCGGACACGGCGACGAGACGGGAACGCAGCGCGGTGTGCCACAACCTAATCCCTTATCAACGCTCTCCAGTAAAGCTGTTTATATCAATCCCTGCGCTAACAATAGTATTGATAAATAAGATATTATCGCAATACAATTTCTATCATGATTTGAAAAATATTAACAACGGTAGAGCGAAGCTGAATCAAATGTAGTTAACAACTTTTATCCGTAGTTCATTCTAACATTAAATGCACTAAACTTCCGAAATGACAAAACAACTGTTATCTCTGTTTTTTCCAATACAAAGAGAAGGGATAACAATATGTTTCTGTTAATGTATAGTGTAGAGGAGGTATACTACTCCGTGTTATATGTCATCAAAACAATAAATATCAAATTATTAGCATAATACTCGGCATATTATCAATAACGTATTATGGTTTTATAGCATTTTTATAACATCTACCGCGCGTCGGCGGCGGTCGCTTTAATTGTAGCACATCTTAATCAGTCTTTACACAGCTGCGTCAGTATAACAGTAAATATCTTGATCGTGGGCGGTCCACGCAATGTACTTCATACAGCAATCTCGACTCGCTCCGGTATTTTTATAATCGTTTCATAATAGCGGTATACACAGCATTATTGTTTTGCAATATATTAAGAACAAAGTATAAAAAATTACTAACACATTCAATGCCACCGACTTTCACTTTATGTACATACGTGAAAATTATAGTGGCACTCAACGTATTAAATTAAAAATCCTTATGACGCTATGTTTATCAACATGTTTCTGAGAGCAATTAAAATAACAATTTAAGTTTGATCGTCATTTGTTTAACAAAACAAATCCAATACTTAAACGTACCTCAAAGATCAATACGGAGTAATACGATATATCTATTTCCTTATAACCTCTTAACAATAGCATTTTCACGGCGACCATAAAACAATGGACACGCAGTCGCTGACGTGGCAGGTGACGTGCCGTGGTATCAGGTTGCCGTGTGGGCGAAAAGCCCTTGTTTTGTTACAACTATAATAAGGCGATAATTTTATACGTTAACTGTACATTTATACACAAATCAAGCATTATTTTAAAATAAAGGGATAAAAAGCGCTCTTAATTTTTTGTTAGGACCAATAACAGGGCTAATTTATTAATGAATCTATTTAGTAGCTTATTGACATTATCTATTTCTATAAGAAGCAAAAAAATCATTTCCAGAGATTGGCTGATATTAGCAACGCTAAAACAACGCGAAAATTTCACGAGATTTAGTAAACTTATCTTTTAAATCGGAAAGCTTTTAGCATTATGTTTAATCGGGGGTCATTTAAAATGTGATTTGTTCGCCATGTCCGCGGGAACTGAGCGGGTCCATGTTAAATTAAATCTAATCGCTGATTTGACCAGTTTGCATGTTTATGTTGCTTACAATCAAAGCGTCTTACGCAACACAAGAATTTTAACATTCTGTTTTTACTAAAGGGTAAGGAATTTTGTTATGGACCACGCATTTTTTTTAGGAAGATATAAATTAATTTGTACGTTCTAACTGTATTTGTGTTCTCCGTAGTTATACTTAAGAACAACTTCACAAAAATGTTGTTAAAAAACTGTTGATTTCGATCAAAATTAAACGTAGTAAAAAAATTAATCACTATCGCTAGATTGTAATATAGTTTACTATTCTGTCCGCTAGATGTCACTGATCGCTCGTAAATCATGATATTCGCGTATAATCGCAGCGATACCTTGTCGGTACATTAGTTGATAGATAAGAGGCCGGCGCATTAGTTGCTTTAAACGTTTCCTGATAACGGACTGTTGCGAACATTCTTACATTCCAATTCTAATACTTTATCCTTGAATTTATCTGTTGATTGTCAATATCCAAATTAGGAAAATGTCCGTTCTTACCAACTAATTTGTTTTCCTTAAATGTGCTTACCATGATGAGAATTGATTTTAATCTTACTTATTACGTTCTAATACTAATACATATATTATAAATGTGAATGTTTGGATTGATGGTTGTTTGTTAGAAGATAACTGCGGAACGACAGAACGGATCTTGATGAAATTTCGCACAGTTGTAGAACATAGTCTGAAAGAACACATAATTAGGTTTTTTAATTCCTCGACCTCAAAATTATATTGGATGTTGAATACTTTAAAAATAACAATAAAAATTGTTCACATTGTATTTCGATTGAACACCATTGGTGAATGCATCATTACATTAACGTCTTGTTAATCTTTTTGATCACGAGCCGTTCGTTTGTTTGCTTTTCATTGCGTTATTAATTAGACATACTTTGTAGACTCAAAGAGAAGAAAAGAAATGTGTGATGTTGCAAGCGTTTCGTTCCAATTTACTTCACACTAACACGTTCTATTCGAAACCTTGAAGATCATTTATAGTTGTGGTTTGCTCCATTTGCTTCGTACCTCAATATGTCCGAAACAATTTAACAAATGAGCAAACACACGTTGTTTGAGACAAATTATGTCATGACACATAAATAAGCCTTCAGATATTTTTTTCTATTGTATTTTTTCTTCTCATAATAATGAAAAAAATTTATATAATTACAATGTTGTCGTAACATACTATAGATCTAATACAGTCCATTTCTAATTTCAAGCTCAACCATAAAATCTTGGGGGCAAACTATTTAGCTATCCACTTCATGACTAAAATATTAACACTAGTAATTGACTTGTTTTGTTTGTTACAGGCTGCAACTGCTCCTTGCTGGGTGCGGAGGGCAACGCGTGCGACATCCGTACCGGGCAGTGCCGCTGCCGGCCGCATGTCACCGGCCGCGCCTGCGATACCTGCGAGGTAAACATAACCAAACCAAACCATGACAACAGCCATACTAAACTATTTAAGCACTTAGCAACTTTTTTTTTTATTTCATACAGTTCCTTGTGTTCTTAGCGCGATTTCTGAGTAATTAAGCTATCAAATGTCAAAATAAATTATTTAAATCGTTACAACTTGAAATTGGGGCGGTCCAATTGACATATTATTCTGTACTTGTAAATTTTAACTTAAGTTAGTTGGCTACAAAGAATAGCGTAAAAACTCACAACAACACACGTTCTGTTCTAGTTCTTGGCATTTAGAACAGTAGTACCTAACCGTGTTGCGTTGGCGGTGAGTTAATAAGGAACGGCCGGTGCAACAACGAGGCTCTAAGCATCATAATTCGTATCCTTCGTTGGCTAAACAACGTGCGTTCGGTAGTTTCAGTGCGCACAAATCATTGCGACCTATTTGCACAAATCAACCGGCGACTGACGCACCGAATGAATGTGTCGAGTCGCAAAAGCTTTACGTCAATAGCTTAAGACAAAGATCTAACAAATTTAAAATGTTTAAAACTTAACATTGCACCTAATTCCCGCAGAAGATTAATAATTGAATTAATGTCTCCTCATTAACACTCTACGATAGTCACATATCTTTAGTCCTGCGTCCTTCTAAGGGCCTATATAAAAATATTTATCTTAACCATTCCCTTAAATAATTGCGGTATATTGAAAATTAAAACTATGTAAAAGAGTTGCAGCTTTGTGTTTGATTTCGGATTACTTAATATTTAATTAAATGTAAAAATTGCACTTTAATATTGAATAGGCAATCAATGTGCTCTTTCTGTTCCATTAATACAAATCAAAATGGCGGCTAGCGCAGGGCGGGAAAGTCCGTTGCCAATTATCGCCACAATTACACGGCGTGCCATAAATCCCGCTCCGTTACACCCGCCTCGTGCTTTATAGCCGGCGAAATGTCAACTAGACATTTCTAAGGAAGTTTGCAGCTCCCTGTAGACTAAAGGTCTTTAATGCGGGCTAACAAATTTATGTCCTGGAAACTTCTGCTGTTTTCCCCTCCGCCTCCCAGTCCACTTCCCTTCCCATCTTTTCCTTATTATAATAAGGTGGAAGAAGGAAAAGGACTGGAATTTGTTATCAGGCACGCAAACTCGTCAGGAGAATAATTCCACTTCACGCCTATTTTTAGCCGTTAGTGAAGCGGCTAATGCGACTGTGGATATCACAGATTAAAAATGTTTGAAAACAGTATTAAGAATAATAGACATCTAACAAATATTAATCGAGAAGATCTTAAATATCTCGCTATCGCGTTGTGTAAATAATTCAAAGTGTGAACAATCAAAATGATATGAATTACACTTTACATAATGCGATGAGACATGAACTGAGATGGATCGCCGACTGCGGTAGGCAACTCCCCCCACCCCTCCACCTCTACCCGCACTGCTGTATTGTCGATTGCTTCAAATTGTCTCATAAATTGACCATAGACAGCCATTATTTTTAATAAACTCTGTTTTCATACGTTGATTGATGGAGTTATTAATTGGGAAAAGTATGATAAAGATTATAAATATAAATAATACTATTATTATTTATTTAAACGCATGTATCCTCTTCACAAAGTGGAATAATTGAACTGAGTATGACGTTGCATTTTTAGTGTTTAAGAAACGGCCCACTTTACGAATATCTATGCTAAACGAGCTCTAAATAAGTTTAACCTTCATGTGTAACAAAAAGCAGCACAAAAGGATACGATTTCTAGCCATGTTTTTTACTTTTATAATCATTTTTTAAGATCACAGGTATAATTGAGTTATGTAAAGAGTAAGACGATAAATTATCACTCATCTTGACAATAATCCCTAGAACATATCAATATATTTGTCATATGTAACGTGTGGCGTGCAGGAGGGGTACTGGGGTCTGGAGGTGGGCGGGTGCCGGCGCTGCGCGTGCGGCGCGGGCGCTGCAGCCTGCGATCCCGCAACGGGCGCCTGCGCGTGCGCGCGGGGAGCGGGTGGAGCTCGCTGCGACCACTGCCTGCCCGGATACTACGGCTTCGGACCCGCGGGATGCTTGCGTTAGTCTATTCTATAAAAAAACACCATAGTTCTTATGAAGTCAAGTTGATATTTTACTGACCAAAGATATTGTCCAATTATTTAAGATATTGTGCAATTATTTAAGACGACTGTTTTATTGTAGCATGTCCGACGTGTTCTGCGGGCAAGGTATGCTCGAGCGCGAGCGGGCGCTGTGTGTGCCCGGCGCGCACTCGTGGGCCCGCCTGCGCGCAATGTGCGCGTGGCTACTGGGGCCGCGCTCACGGCTGCCCTCCCTGCGCCTGCGGACCCGGCGCCCTCTCCTGTCAGTACCACACATTCTGTTTACTGATTTTTTTAATTTATTACTTGACCAACAAGCATAGTACAATTTCTCAATAATAATTTTGTGTCATGTTCGAAAATTTTAAAAAATAAATATGCGAAAATTAATAGGATCTGCTCAAGCCTTGTAGTTGTTCCAGCGAGTTGCGACCCGGTATCGGGCCAGTGCGAGTGTCGAGCGGGCTGGAGCGGACGGTCGTGCGACAGATGCGCGGTGGGCCACTTCGGGCCGCGGTGCAAGTCCTGCGCATGCGCGGTGGCCGGCACGCGCGGCTGTAAGGCCGGCGTCTGCCCTTGCGACAATCACGGCCGCTGTCTTTGTAAGGTACGATCATCGAAATTGATTTTTATATCAATCGTTTATAAAATATAACGTTGAAGCCTTAATAAGTGTCAAAAATAGTTTTCATGTTACTATCAAAGTCAATCAGCCAAGCACAAAAAAGGCGCGCCTATCGGCTTCTCAAACAACATCTAGTCCGGGTACACTGCCGCACACTGCGCCGTACTCTCGTACACGCAGCTGTGTACATCATTTGTGACAGATACAACACATCTCGATTTTTTATTTCGCATTCACCAACGTGGGTGTTAATCAAAAAAATATTAATATTGTGTAACGCGACAATTGATTGGCAGCCTGTTGAAAAAAAACCGCGCACAAGATTGTGTGATGTCGAAAAAAATTAAATGCATAGATTAACGTCACTTCCAGTGTCGGACATTGCGAAGCTCTGTTTTGATTACTTACAAAAAACGATAATTGTTTTACTCAGCCGAGATATGTTTTAATTTCGGAACCCTCATGATATCGTGGATGAAAATTTTGAAAAAATTCAACAAAAGGTCTTAGACTTTGAAAATTAGTTGGTAGAAATCTTAAAATAACACACAACATACAGCATTTTTAATAAGTCTAACTTTCGCAAACAGGAGAACGTGGTAGGCGATAAGTGCGACAGATGCTTGGAGGGCACATTCGGCCTGGCAGAAGAGAACCCGTCCGGTTGCACGGCGTGCTTCTGCTTCGGGCGCAGCGCGCAGTGTACGCAGGCCGCCGTCACTCGTGCCGCGCTGCACGCGCCCGCGCCCCACCACCTCACTCTCGTGCCCGCCGAGACACGTGCTTCCGTAAGTTATACGTTGAGACATTTCAAACGTAACATTTTTTAATTTAATTTTGAATTATAGTAATTAGCTATGATGTTCGACTGTAGATAGACCAGGAGTCTTTGCTGGCGGTGCACACGCGGTTCCCCGACGCCACTATAGCGGTGCCTCGGCCGCCGGTGCCGGTGTACGTAGAGCTGGGTCCACTGTTTCTGGGCGACCGTGTGATGTCGTACGGGGGCGCGCTGCGGTTCACCGTCGAGGAGGAGGGCGGAGATCAGCTCTCGCCAGAATTCTTGGACAGGTTCCCGCTCGTTAGGCTTTATGGACGCAATCTCGTCTTGGATTATTATGAAGTAAGTACGTGTATCTTAATTGATTATCAGTAATTAGCTTAACCTTAAATAGTTCTTATCAATTTCTTTGTAATATTTTGAAGCGTCTTATCGATTTCTTGTTTACGGATATTATTTTTCTGGTAGTCGCTTTGCCCATGTAACATGTGTTTGTATGATACAGCGAGTACCGGCAGTGAACGGCACCCACGCAGTGTGGCTGCACGAGTCGCTGTGGCGCGTGCGCGGGCAGGGCACGGCGTCTCGCGGCGCGCTCATGCTCGTTCTGCAGCGCCTTACGCGCGTGCAGCTACGCGTCTCCACGCGCGCGCCCACAAACACTGACCCCGTACATGTCCTGTGAGTTTTTTAAAGATTTACCACTTTCCAAAAATGTTTGTTTCTCGAGGCAGATGTTTATTTTTCAATGTAACATTTCAATTAAACTAACTATTAGATAACTAATTAACTAACGGATAGATTCAAAAAATCCTAACATTGTAACGCAACAGCAAACATGTAAACGAAAATAGTAACACATAATGTGTAATAGGGTACTGAAGGTTTCCCTGGAGACGGCGGTGCCGGGCCTGAGCCGCGGCGCGCCGGCGTTGGGTGTGGAGCGTTGCGCCTGCCCGCGGCCCTACGCCGACGCCTCCTGCCAACGCCCCGCCGCGGGTTTCTGGCTGCCGCCCGCAGTCGCAAGTACCACCAACGTCGCCGGCACCATTGTCATCAATGTCGACGCCGTCGCCCAGCCCTGCGACTGCAACGGGCGATCCTCCACCTGCCACCCCGATACTGGACATTGCTTGGTAAATTGCTCCGAGAACTACTTATTCATAAAAAACGAACTAATTTAAAATCTCACATTGGGTAATTCTTTCCATCTTAAATTATTTCGTATTGTTTTACACGACGTCTTTGGTGCAGAATTGCACGGGGGGCACAGAGGGGCCGCGGTGCGACCGGTGCGCGGCGGGTTACTACGGTGCGCCGGACGCAGCAACCGGCTGCCAGCCCTGCGCCTGCCCCACTACCGCCAGAAATTTCGCCAGCGCCTGCGCTCTCGTCGGCGGAGCGCTGAGATGTCGCTGTTTGCCTGGTGAGTAAACCTGATCTTTTTACATCATTTTCTACTTTCACGAAATGCCCCCTTTTAATGAATGAACAGATTAAAAAGTTGTATTATCTTTGCACAGGATACACGGGAGCGCGGTGCGAGGCGTGTGCGGCGGGGTACAGGCGGGTTGCGGAGGGAAAATGCGCGGCGTGTGGGTGCGACGTGCGCGGCGCGCTGGCGGCCCGCTGCGACGCGCGCGCGCAGTGCCGCTGCCGCCCGCAAGTGCTCGGCGACCGTTGCGACCGATGCGAGCTACCTAGACACTATCTCGACGAGGATGGATGCAAACGTAAGCGTCTGTCAAAAAGTCTGTGTCCACTAGTACTTTCGTAGGAGAAGGAATGACCTTAGTCTTATTTATGACTTATCATCAATACTTGTGATCATGACATTTATATTAATTTCATCAAGTTGGATTATTAGTTAATATACAATAGCCACTTTGCACAATCCTTTTCAGCTTGCGATAACTGCACACAGACCTTGCTGGACGACGTGTCCCGGCTGGCGGGCTCGCTAGCCACACGCGCCGACCTCACCGAGCTCAGCAGGATTCCGCAGCCCTTCCCCGCCCTCCAGGAGTTCGATCACAACACCACGTCGCTGCGCAATTCTCTCTACGACGTCAAAAAAGGCATAGAACATTCGAGAAACTTCGAAAACTGGATCAGTGAAATGGAGAGAACGGAACACGACGCTTTCAGAACAGTTAATAAGGTGAAATTGGAAGCGGCTAAAAGAGAAAAGGATGCGCAATACATCAGCTTGGAGAGCATGAGCTGGCTGGAAGAGGTGCTGAAGCAGAGGCGGCTGCTGGCGGAGCAGGTCGCCGCGCTCGACGATTTCGCCCGGGGGGAAAAACATTTGAGCGCGCATAGAGCTATCAAAGAAGCGAGACATCTGCTGAAGAATATAAGAGAAGTAACACTTTCCGATTACATGACTGGAGCTAGTGACGTTTCAGATTCGGTAAGTTACCGCATACAGAGATAATATTCATGGCAATAACTAGAATGTTAAGTAAATCGCAATCAATGACTTTTGCAGGTTAACCTGCAATCGACGTCGGTGCACGAGTACGAGTACCGGATAGAGGACATGTGGCGGCGCGTGCGGCGGCTGCGGGCGGCGCTGGAGCAGTGGGAGCGGCGCGCGGAGGACCTGCCGCGGCTGGTAGACGTCGTCTTCTCCGCGGGGGACGCAGTCGCTGAGCTGAGGAAGCGGGTCGCACCGAAGCTCGCTCATATTAAAGACGTGGGCTTGCGTTGTCGTCTCGTATTAGAAGTAAATGGCAATTTGAATGTTGAAAAAAAAAGATTTTGAACTCCTGTAATGATTAAAAAAAATTGTTTCTTGTATACGTATGTCTTACGCCTAGGTCTTTATTTCAGGACATTTCAAACCTCTCGACGGACAACATGACCGATCAGACGAGGTCGTTGCTGCTGCAAACCCACAACCTGGCCGTGGGATTCCCCGGCCTGCTGCGACAGCTGACCACCTTGACTGCGGCGGCGGAGGAGAAGGAGGGCATCCTCTACAGCCTCACACCCGCCTATAAGGCGAAGTTTCTGCAGCCGGCCGAGATTCATGCCGCCGAGTTAAAAAAGAAAGCCAAAGAATACAAAAAGTAAGTAAAATTACAAATGTATGTGTGTGTTTGTGGGTGAGCGTAAGGGTATGTGATTAGAGATGTTTGACTCAGCAAATACAAATATGTTGTGAGCACAAAAGGGTTTCTAACTATTTAGATCAAGGCGGAGATATGGTTTTCTCAATTGGTATCGTGTTCAGTTTATTCGCAGGCACGCGCGCGCTGGCAGCGGGCGGCGTGCGGGCGGCGCGCGCCTGGTCCGAGGTGGCGGGCGCGCTGCAGGCGGCCGCCGCGGCTGCCAGCGCCGCCGCAGGAGCGGCCGACACCGCCGGAAAGCTAGCGCGCGGGCCTAACCCTCTCGTTGACACCGCGCAGAACCAGCTCCGGGCCTCGGAGATCTTAAAGACCAAGGGGGCCGCCGTTCTGGCCAGAGCCGATGGTAAGAATGTAACTTTAAATTGGAGTTGTAACTCAAATAGTATCCGGTATATCGATTTATCTGGCTCGAAGGATCGAACATTTTTACTTACAAAAGCTTTATTAAGAAGGTAGTATTTAATTGCAACCGTTAGAGTTACGCAAGCAGCTGGAGGGCGCGCAGCGGGGCGTGGACGTGGTCAGCGTGGAGCTGCGCGCGCTCGGCTGGAAGGAGCGCGCGCTGGCCGGCGGACAAGCCGACAGCAACGCAGGTGAGCCCACATATACACTCATTATACCCTCATGTTCCATCCCAATATATCTTGATTTTATTTGAAAAAAATACGTAATGGTGTATTGAAACTAATAAAAGAATTATATCTTGCAGTGCGCGAGGAGCTGTCGCGAGCGGGCGTGCAGGCGGACCGCGTGTTCGTGCGGGCGCGTGCGCTGTACGACGAGGCGGCGGAGCTGCGCCGGCGCGCGCGCTACCAGCTGCGGCGGCGCCTGGCCGACCTGCAGCGGCTCGGCGACACCGCGCTCGGCGCCGCGCAGGAACACGGTATACACCGTCCACTCTTGAATCATCATTATGTAATATTTTTATGAACAAAATACTAGTAAGATATGCGATATGTATATTGCAGTGTCGCAGATAAACGGCAACACGGTGCGCGGCGCCGAAGTGGCGGAGGCGCTGGGCGCGGCGGCCGAGGCGCGCGCGCGCGAGCACGCGGCCGCCGCGCACACGCTCGACCCCGCGCTCGCCAAACTGCGGCACAACATCGCCCGCGCCAGGGACGCCGCCGCTTCAGTCAGTACACATATTTCCAGTGGCGAAGATCTTAGCGACCTCTTAAACCCGATGTCAAATATTCTCAGTTTACATCGATGTATTTTGCCTTTGCCGTGTATTAATTGGAAAGTTTGTACACCGGCTCAACAGATCTCTGTATCGGTGACGTCGCCGGGGGCGGGGCCGGGCACCGGAGCGGGTGCGGGATGCGCTCGCGCGTTCGCGGTGTCCGGTGGCGGCGGCGTGACACGTCTGGGTCTCGCTGTATCCTTCGACCGCGTCGTCAGGAACGGCACTCTGCTGCTGCTGCAAGACCTAGTAACTACACGGAACAACCAATTAATCGGCTTTATCGGTACCACTAAGAATAAATTATAAATAACACTATTGTAAATAGGAGGGCGAGAGATATTTGAAGATGTACGTGCAGAACGAACGACTGCTGGTGTCGTGGGATGTGGGCATGGGGCGCGGAGTGCTGGCCCACCCCCGCCCGCTGCGACCCACGCACGACGACGCCGACCATCTCTCGTATCGCATTGAAGTAGAAAGGTTAAAAATTAAAATTCTTGCAATATGACGAGCACTAACTCTTAACCGACTTTTTTATATTACATACATGTTGATTTCTCTACATTTTAGAGTGTGGAGCACGGTGCGATTAAAAGTGGAGAGTACCGACGAGTCCGCTATCGTGAGCAACAACAGCACGGAGAGCTCGGGCGCAAACGAGAGGAACGAGTCGGGCGAGGCGGGCGCGCTGGAGGCGGGCACGCTGTGGCTGGGAGAGGCGGGCGCCCCGCTGCCGGGATGTGTACATGCGCTGCACGAGGACGACCGCGAGCTGGGCCTCTGGGCCTTCACGCACCAACCTGACACCGCACAATGCGTCGCCTGCACTCATAGGTGATCACATAATATACACCACTAATACTCATCGGGCAAAAATATGTATGTAACATACAAGATTCGCAAGCAGTTTAGATTCTTTAACTTATTGTTAAACATGTAAACTTGTTGTTGTACGCAGATGGTACAACGCGGGCGCTGCGGGGGGAGCCGGCGGTGCGGGCGGCGCGGGCTCGCCTGCGCTGACGTGGTTCGGAGGCGCGGGGTACGCAGAGCTGCGGCGTGCCGGCCTGCGCCCTGCCGACCGCAGACACTTCAGTCTCTCTTTCACGTTCCGAACGCGCGATGAAAACGCGCTGCTTTTCATGGCGCTTGATGAAGCTAATGTTTGTACTATTTAAAAATAAGAGAAGCCGCAGAGCACGGAGTTGAGCGATGATTTCACACCGTACTATTTGGCACCTGCAGAACCGGTCGGTGTCAGTGGAGCTGGTGTCCTGCCGCGTCACGTTCCGCGTGGCTTACCGAAGCGCACGGCTGGAGATCACGGCGCGCGGCCGCCACTGCGACGGTCGGCCCGCACACGTGCAGGCCATACGGGTCTTCGCCGCTAACAAGCTCGAAAAAGGTACCCGCATTCCGTCTCCCTCGCGTCACCCTAAGTCAACATTCATCCATAATAGCCAAGTCAGAAATTACTCATAAAGCTGTTGACAAAATTTGGGACAAGGGAGACAGTGTGAGAGTGTTTCTTCGGTCTTATATCGTGGTGTCGATGTTTGAGCGCGGGGTGTCCCCAGGCAGCCTGCGCGTGAACGGCGAGGAGACGCTGGGCTCCCCCTCCCCGCCGGTGCAGGCGCCCGCCGACCTGCCGGAGCCGGGCGCGCGCTTCTTTGTGGGCGGAGCACCGCCCGGTGCGGGCGTGGCCGCGCCCGCGCTTCTCGGCTGCCTCGGCGCCCTCACCGTGGACCGCCAGGGCTACGACCTCATGGACACGCCCTACCGCCGCGGACTGGAGAGATCCTGTGCTATACGAGTAAGTTGTGAATTTCAAAGAGTTTTTACGTAAACTAAATAAAATTGTAACATACTCATGCAACACTTCAAGTTTATCTAACACAGGTCTATGTGTTAGAGATTAACGTCGAGTGTGTTTGCAGACGCTGCGGTCGGCGATCCTGGATGGCGAGGGCTACATCGAAGTCGGGGCTCCGGCGCTGCGACGGCGGACGACGCTAGCGCTGTCGGTACGCACGCGCAGCCCCGCCGCGCTGCTACTGTGGCGCGCACCCGCAGGCCCCGCCGCACACCCCGACGACGCAGAGGACACCGACGGCGACGACAACCACTACCTCGCCATCGCACTTGTCGAAGGTAACCTCATAACCTAATAAATGAGGTATTGATGGATATGTCGATACCTTTGTAGCCTATGAGACTTATAGTGTAAAAATTATCTGTGACTTTTAGGCGAAGTGTTGATAGTGGCGGCGGCGGGACGCGGCGAGCTGCGCCGGCGCTACAATGGCACGCGGCTGCACGACGGCGCGCGGCACACCATCCGCCTGCAGCGGGCGCACAAACAAGTATACAAGCACATTTACTACTAAATAACGAGTTTCAAAATAAACCTTTGTAATCTATTAAGTAAAAACAACCATACAGTATTGACCCCTCGCCTGTACTTCAGCTAGAGGTGTGGGTGGACGACCGTAAGCTGGACGCTGCGCCGCTGGCGGGCGGCGGGCTGCCGGCGCGGCCCCGCGGCCTCTTCCTCGGCGGCGTGCCTCCCGCAATTCGTCTACCCAACGCGCTGCCCACGGGACTGCCCACTGTTGGACTCGCAGGGACCATTGAGGACTTTATTGTTGACTCGGAGTTAGTAACGCTATTGTAATTTAATATGGTAGTTTCCTTTCTACGTTACATATGCAAATGTTTTTTTAATGATATGATAATGACATACCTAGTTTCATGTATAACATATTATGTGTGTGTGTTTGTATGTGTGTGCAGGCTGATAAGTTTGGAGAGCGCAGTGCAGGCGGCGGGGGCGCGACTGGGGCGCGGTGCACGGGCGGAGGCCAGGCCCGCGCGCCCTCACGACCTGCTCTCGCAGCCCGACGCCGCTCACTGCTCCAAGGTAAACTGTTCGAACCTCAACATTTACTTTTTTATATAACATCGCTAAATGACAAAACATCTTGCAGACATCTTCATATACAGTGGAGGCGGGCGCCGCGAAATTCGGCGACGTGGCCGGCAGCTACGCCACGCTGCGGCTGCCGGCGCGCGGGGAGCGCGGGGAGCGGGGCGAGCGCGGGGAGCGCGGAGGGCGCGGGCGGGGGGAGCGCGGAGAGCTGCTGCTCGCGCTGCACTTCCGCACCTTCGCTCCCGACGGCCTGCTGCTGCTGTTGCCTGTTAGTGGCACTCCTTTCGGAGTAAAACTTGTCAATGTTTCTTGTTATTACTGTTGTTCAAATACCCTGTTGTTTCAGGGGTCAAAAGCGAAACCGAAGCACTACCTGGCGCTGCTGGTGCGCGAGGGCAAGCTAAAGTTAATCGTGCGCGGCCGGCGACGCCGCGAGCTCGCCCTCGCCGCGCACGTGGCAGACGGCACCTGGCGGGCGGTCAGTACAATATCAGACGAACTTTTTTTATAGTTTTCTATATGTACCACAATCGGTCGTGACTTTCAGATAGTTGACATGTTATGAATATCTCAATATTGACTGTGCGCGTGTAGGTGTCGGTGCGGGTGGGGCGTACGCGCCTAGTGCTGGAGAGCGGGGGAGCTGCGGCCACGGCCCGCGCGCCGCCGCTCGGCCGCGCAGCGCGCCTTTACGTCGGCGGCCTGCCCTCGCCCGAGGCTATGCCGCATTTACCCAACAACGTCAGTATCTTAGTAATATTGACCATTAATGCGATCCGACTCCTTATTATTATTGATCGACAAATTATCTTTTATTCGTGTTTGTGCAGATCATCCGAGTGGGCGGGTTCGTGGGATGCGTGCGGCGCGTGGCGGTGAACGGGCGCGCCGAGGATCTGGTGCGCGACGCGCAGTCGCACCGCGGCCTCGGACAGTGCTTCCCCAGCATCGAGCAGGGCGCCTACTTCGCCGGTAAACTACTTCGATACATATAAACTAGTATCAGTAACTACTGATCACTCGTTAGAAAACTTCCACAACCGCGTCCTAAAATGAAAGTGGCGGTATTTTTTTCGACACTGGTCACTTTGCAGGTGACGGGCACGCGCTGTGGTCGCGGCGCTGGTGGCGGGAGGACATGGAGTCGGCGGAGCTACGCCTAGAGTTCCGTACGAGCGCGCCCAGCGGCCTGCTCGCGACGGCGGCGCAATTCGTGCTCGAGATCAAAGACGGCGCGGTAAGATGCTACTATTCGTTTGTTACGTGACTGCCTGTACCTGCAGTGTAGTGAACACACATTATTGAGTTGTAAGTGTTAGTTGTATGTTGTAATGCGCTTAATCCGCAACTTCCAGGTGGTGTTGAGCGTGGGGTCTGCGCGCACGGAGACGCGCGGCGCGGGCGGGCGCGCGGTTTGCGATGGCGCGTGGCACACGGTGCGCGCGCGCATCTGGCACGCCGCGGCCCTGCTCGCGCTGGACGGCGGACCGGAGCTGCGTGCGACCACCCTGCTGCCCGCAGACCTTACCGCACCATTGTACCTGGCCGGATTACCAGGTACGTACAGAAACTTTTGTGTCGACCGTTACGCACTCTGGTGGGTGTCAGATGCAGGTCCCTTTTGTGTGTGGTGTGGTACTGTTAACTTTTTTTGACGTATAATTTCAGAGGGCGCGTTGGACACGTCAGAGGGCCGAGAGAACTTCAAGGGATGTGTGCGTGGGGTGAGCGTGGCGGGTGAGACGCGCGGTTGGCGCCAGCTAGAGGCTCTACACAACGTGCTGCTGGACTCCTGTCCCGTGCCGACGTGACACCGCCAAAGAGACAGCGGGCTCTATACTCCTGCCTGTCCCTCGTGTCACAGGCCAAATAATTCTTGATAGTCGTATCTGGGATCGATGGGTGAATCCCTCAGACACAAAGAAGTTTTTAATGTAAGAA